AATAAGTTGCATCCAATGGTAGTAGCTGTTGTTGGAATATTTTATTTATACAGAAAAAGAAAATGCATGGTATTGCAAGAAAACTTATACAGAATTTCTGTAGGGATTAATACATGACATCTGAAATCATAAGCATGGAATTAAAATTGCAGCTTAAAGACTGTATGATTTCCTAAAATATAATTACAAACCCTGGAGACTAATGAAGGTGATAATTTACTGCATATTTATCAGAAAAGTCTTGGCAATGAAAGAAAATAATGTACATAGTAACACATACGGTGTAATATAAAGTGTAAAATACCCCACAGATTCATCATGAATAAAAATTACTTGATTGTGCTAATGTTCCAAGACTTTAAAAATTACATCTTTATTTTTACATAACACAATGAAATGAAACAGAATTATTTCGATGGAGAATAATGCATAAACAAGTTTCATGTTAATTTTTTCAATTAATTTTTTCTTTTGGGAGTTACTGGGTTACCTGGGTTATTTTATGAGTTATCCCACATCAGCATTTTAATATACAGATTCTCTGAATAATCATTGTATTTCTATATTTTAGTAGGAGCTTTTGTTAATGTGATTTTTGCCTACGGAAAAATATACAAAAGAAAAATTTCTAAATGTTTTAAAAGTAGTTTAAATAAAAAAAAAAAAAAAAGACACATTCTTAAAATATTTTTCTTTATTGAGTTTCACGATGTTTAGAATACGTGAAATAATATGAACCTAGATATCAACAAGCATTTTCAAATACACAAAGAGCCCAGAAATTTCACAGTAAGTAATTTTTATCAATTATTATTTTCACCCTTTTAAATAAAGGGTAAAAAATAATTAAATAAAGGGTTTTAAATAAAGTAAAGAAAAGTTATTGGGTATCGAGTTAGCCAATTGAGTGGAATATAAAGTTGTATTTGTTTTCGAAATTGAGATTTACATACTTCACTTATCGCTTCTACAGTAAATTAAATATTAAATCATATCAGGGCAACACAAAATAACCAAAACAAATGAACTACTTCTACCCAAGAAATACGAACAAGTTACCATAACATTAACAACTGCTTTCTTGTATACCAGTTTTGCACACAAATTGCGTTTGGCGATCGGAAAATGACGTCAAAAGTTCCTGGCGCAACGGTTGTCTCTGATTGGTTGAATTTCTCCAGTTCCCGGCGGGTTTTAGCCGCCCGTTATACCAATTGACCATCATGATAGAGGGATGGTGCCCACGCCCTCCGTCACTTATCACTTACCACCCCAGAGTAGATGCCAGATTACCAACGTAAAAAGTGAAAATTGGCAAAAAAAGAAATGAAAAGGTATAGAGTATGAAATGTCTTTGTTGGCTGGTGAAAGTATATTTCCTTGCTGTTATTAAGAAGTCAAATGCAATGAAAATTCTGTCTTCACTCTAGTCCACGTGAGTTACGTGAACCTCTTCAAATGAATTATGGGAAAGTGGTTTTAATGCTTTCCCACAGGCCCACCAGCGGCCGAGTGCTAAAAGTTCGCTGAACACTGCTAGTTCGGTCCGGGGTTCGAGTCCCGGCGAACGGGCTGGCTGCATGGGCGTTTTCGTGGTTTTCCCTATGTGTAACGTTGATACGAGCAAGTTTCCCTTAAAAGACCTCCACGGGGCATCCATCCCTTTCCGCGTAGTGCCTAAGGGCGGAGCACGTAATAAGCAAAAAAAAAAAAAAAATCTTTCCCACAGGGGATTATGGCCTAATGTTTCTTTGTTTACCAACATATTATCCATATGCACTGTACAGTAGTAACCCAAATTGAAGTTGACAGTGGGATCACATTTACAGGATTATCTAAACAAAACAACACAAAACGAAATAGTGAAACAAAAATAGCTAAACCTTCACCCACACAGTCACTGATGACGTTATCCGTCCTCACTTCTGAATGCTAAGGAGGTTTTATGATCTGGTCTGGTCTTAAAAGTGTTTCCTACATTGCCAATCATACTAGATGACGTACCTTGACCTGCTCTTTTACGTTACCAAGACCTCGATGAAACTCACTACAATTTTGGAAAATGAGAGACTTCATTAAGAGTGTTTATTTTATCGGTGCTTGTTCTTGGTCTTATGGTGAAGGAGATGAATTGGAACTTCCAGGTCTTCTTCCACTCCCATATTGTCTGAGTCTAGTGACTCTGAGTACATATTTTGGATAGAGTTGTTAGTAGTGTGAAAGTGATTGTTCAGGGACACGATCTCTAAATTACAGGCGGATTGCTGATGAGCGCGCGCAGGCGGTGTGCGTTGCAAACCAGCTAAGGGAAAGAACAGAGATAAGCGTGATAATTTGATAAAAAAATTACCTTTTATTAACTTTCCAGCCGTAATTACTTAAAATTTAAGTGTTCCAGTTTGATAATGCTTGCTTATTTTCGAATTTAATGATTGATTCACAAGGCCTTACTTTTAGGTGCAAATTGTTAATTTTTATGGTCAATTTTAAGCTCTTTTAATTTCCTATATACTCTGAATTTTACCTTATTTCCGAAACTTTCTATTCATAATACCACATTTACTTTCCCTAAACTTAATTGCATTATTAATTTTGAATATTTAGTTCATTCTACACGGAAACTTTTCTTACCTTTTAACCGGCATACTTTTATAATTTTAACTTATTTATTAAATTTTTTACAAGCACAGTTACTGATGCGCGTTTTAACTTATTACTTTACTTCTAATTTTTAACTTGTTTCGTACATTTTAACCTTCGTAATTTTTAACGTACTCTAGTTTGTAAGTAATTTGTTATACGATTATATATATCGTATTTTCACACCAAATATACGACTTTTATTTAAATTTTAATTTCCTTCATACATTTTAAACTGCGTAATTCCCAACATGCTTTTAATTTTAACTGAATTCCTGTATTTTCTGGCCAAGTAATATTTCTGACCTTTCATTTAATTTTAGATGTAATTTTAACTCCTTTCGTACATTTTCGATTCGCTCGTTTTCCTAATTTTCAGTGTACTCTAAGTTTCAGTACACTTCCTAAATTTTCATACTATATACATGAATTTTATTTATCATATTATTTAATTTTCTTACTTTTTAAGCATTTTGTTTCCTTTATAGTTTCCTATGTACTTCTAAATTTAACTTATTTATTATATTTTCTTTTATTTCACCATTTCACTTAATTTTACATAATTTTTCACATAATTTTACATGTTTAAATTTCGTAAACATACTGAGTACCGAGATTATTTAATTAAGTGTTTTAACACTATAATTGATAATTGTTATTCATATACAATTCACTGAATATTTCTTACTTAGTCTATAAGTAATATTTTAATTTGCTTGTTGTACAATTTCTCATTCTTTTCTTACCATGACTAATTCTATTATTTTACTTCATTTAGGTAGTATTATTAATTTCATTCGCATTTTTAAGCATTTAAAACTATTGCTATCGGACTAACCGGGTCTAAAATCTCACTGAAGCCTCACAGTCGGCTTACAGGCTATCAAAAATTTTAAATTGCCAATCCTGTAGCCACTGATATTAAGGTCTGGTCGTTTGGCACTTCAGGAGACAGCTTTGTAAAGGTCAACTGTGGAAGCTCGGCCTTTCAGTCTGAAGTAGAGGCCAAACCATTGTTTTGGGGATTAGTACATCGTTCCTCAAATTAACAATATCCTCCATTTCAATCTTACGAATTTACACGTATGGTAAAGACGTTGACAGTTTTCTGTCTATGAGAAATCAGAGCCAGAACAGATGTAACAGCATTCAAACACTAAGCCTCTACCTCTGAAAAGGAAAACACACTACACGCACACACACAATGGAAAAAGCAAATAGACAAGAGAAGAGGGAAAGGAAAGGAGAACTGATTAGTGGGCCCCCGGTTCGTGATATCCGTGCTTACCAAGGATATAATACTCTGACGGAATACGTGCCATTAAATTCTATAAGATCGTCTCAGGTGGACAAGTGGAAGTCCCAAGACAAAGCCCACGAAAGAAATGTTACTGTCATGAATATCCACACGAATGAAAGCTCGCATAACTGAAAGTGAACAAGAGTAAAAGCGCTGGTAAAATATTTACAAGAGAAAAATAGAGATATAAAAGAAGTCGATGAGAGAAAAAAAAAAAAAAAAAAGATGCAAAAGGATGCGCACATATAATTTTTTTCCCTTTTCCATTTGATACACTTTCAAATTGTATGCCTTTGATAAAACATTATGCTAATTGAAATAAGCATCCTTTTTAATGCTATAACTATAGCATATGTTTATAATTGCAATGTTAATAAAAATATTTGAATCAAATTGAACTGAGTTTTGACGTCAACCCTATAAATAATTAAAGACATTCTTTTCGCGTGCTGCTGTTATGTAATGACTGCTACGTCAATGGCCTCTGTTGAAAGCTGAGTTCTTTTCTCAGCTCCATGGTGAACTGGTTGACGACTCTTCTGTAATTAATAAATCAAACGAATAATAAAAATTTAGATCTATCTTTTGCTAGTTACCAGATGCTCTGACTCATGGCTTCACAGTTGATGATCTTTTGTTAATATTGATGATGAAAAACGAAGTTACCAATATGTTTTTTACGTCAAAATCCAAGCAGCTAGAACTGAAAACGGCATTGCCAGGAATCTAAATGGGAGACAAAAGCTAGGAAAAACATCGACCACGACATCTCTTTCACGTTTATTTGGAATAATGTTTTGGTACTATTAAAAGAGAGTTAAGGTAAAAAATATAAATTAATTTAATACATTTACTAGTATAATAATAAGCCTTTAAAACTACGAAGAACTCAGAAGTGCTCAAATGCCTTATTTCCTGGGTTGTAACTTACTACAGAAAAGAAATCTAACAACTTCTTCTAAGAATATATTTTAATTCTTTAAAAGCTTTAACCTTGTTTGACAAAGCATTTACTAAATATATTACTTTCTTCTAGCTTATTTGAATAATTTTCTAGGTCTACTGAGGCTTTCCTTGAAGAAACAGCAACTCTTTCTTTATATCAAGCATTACTTGGCTTAGCTTTTCTGATAACCAAATACACTATGGTGAGCTGCTTCAGCATTGCTGCTGCTAATCAAGTATTTAGAATTCGTTGTATGTTCATGGAGTCTATCCTCAAACAAGACATTGGATGGTTTGATACAAACAAGACCGGGGACTTTACAAGTCGTATTTCTGGGTAAGTCTGATTTTTATTTCTATATATTTAATTAAATATTAGCCTGACAAGTTTTTATAATTAATTATAACATATAAACTTTGGAAGATTTTAAAAACTGGATTAATAACTTGAATAATGAAAACATATAAAAGAAACACTGTCATGTAGATTATTAGGTACTAGGTATTTGGTTAGAAAACAAGTAAAGGATAAATATAATGACTTTTGTTATCATTTTTGATTACCACTTAATTTGCATTCATAATGGTACGTACAATCACGTCTGCTTATATATCTCACGATGTTTATGGGATGGTATAACATTCCTGTATTTCAAACTAATTAGGTTGTCGCTTATAATGCGATTTCCATAATATAATTCTAGTGATGATTCTTAATTGCCTTCTGAAAGTTTCTGTTTACTAGAACAATCTCCGTTGCTATTTGTTAAGAGTAGTGTACGACATTTAACAAATGCTGCTGTCAAACATTCTGTTCTATTCAACAATGGCAATTTTCCTTTGATTTTGAAACCATTTACTTAATGATTTTGACTCAGATACATACATTTAATTCTTTAAGAACTCAGTAGTGCTACGTTGTCTCCAAAATTTTCTTTTTGAAGAATCTCTTTGTGAAAATTGCAACATCGTGAAGGAATAATGGGAATAAACTGGACTGTAAATGAAATACAAAACAGTAAGTGATACGCAAATGATTAGAATTTCAGAGTGATAGCATATGCATTAATTGACCCTCTGAATGTCAATAGTTGTGAAATTAGAGGGCTGTAGTAGAACGTTAGAAGTAAAGTTTTGTTATCTGATAAATATTTAATGAGAAGTCACTGTGCCTCATCGATGAAAAAAAAAAGCCAATATAAGCAAGGCATAGGGCACACACAGGCGAGTAACACAGGGCGAATGAGAACTTTTCTGTCGTGAAATCCAGCTCGTATGGAGCATAATGCCTTGCCAAAGATGCCTTTGTGAAATGCAGTGGGCTTAAGAGCCTTGGGCAAGTTGCAAACCTCGTAGTGAACAACGAAATGCTACGTTAGCACCGAATAACTGATACCTCATGTGCATAAGAGTGATGGATAGTGAAGCTTCATTTCGACAGCTACAGGTAGAAGCTACGCCAGCACTTCCGTAGTATCACAGGTAATTGAGGTATTGCTGAGCCTACATGACTGTTAAGCTTCAGCTCCAATTTTGAGGGAAAACACTCCAGGGGGCGATCCGAAGGTCTCCCACCTTTCTTTCTCTACCATCAACCTCTCGACAGGAATTTCGGCTGTCCGTGTATTTTGACTGCCTCCTTTCCGCACAAACGCTATAGACTTACAATTCTGTGTCAATAACAAATTTTAATTCTGTGGGATTTGTACCCGGGCCCATTGATTCGGCAGTCAGCGTCACTAACCACTACATGGGCTAGGTGGCAAGCTTTATCTTGGCAGTTAAAGAACTGCTACGGGTACACCATTGTCAGTTTCAGTCACTGTAAGCTGCACCGTGCCATTGGCAGCTGCGCTGTAATTACGTGCATGCCTTCCTCTGCGCAAGATTTCAGTGAGGCAAGATTTCTGTGAGGCAAAATCGTGAATATTTGCATCTACAGTGGTCTCATAAGCCACAGTCACTAGCATGCTGACAGACATTAGGCACTATGGGGATGAGCAACATCTTCCAGCGTGCATTATCTAACGTCATATTGGCCGACCATCAAGCGTGATGGTCTGGGACGGCACTGGATACGATGGGAGGTCTCGTCTGCTAAGAATTCAGAGTACAGTCATCAGGCGATTGCTACATCAGGGAGGTTGGGAAATCCAAAGCTGTACCTTCATTGAACGCATTTCTGGAGGTTATGTTTCAACAAGACAATCCCCGTCCACATATATTTAGAATTATTCAAGGTTTTTCTCACCTTATCAAACACCGCATTTCCTTTGGCATTCTTTTTCACCACAGATGTTGCTTAGAACTAGGATCTCGTGAGTCCGTAACTCGCTTATAGCACTTGTTCCACAGCCAGTACGAATCAACCTTGGGTTCGGGCAATGGCAGTATAGAATACCATTTAACAGGCAATCATTTAAAACCTGTTTGCTATAATGGTCCGACTAGCTGTTATTGCAGTGCATGAAAGCTTCACCAAATATCGTTTTTAGGATTTAATACTCCTGCATTGCTGTGAAAATTTGATCTTTTCTTTGGATCAGTACAAGTGGTATGTAGAATAAATGTCATTCAGTTCTGATAATTTCTTCATAACGTCACAATTTTCACAAACAGGTGAGTACTTATAGAATACTTATAGAACACTTATAGAATAAAAATGCGGCATCTTTCAATTCTGGAAATTTATTCTGTAGCAATAGTACTGAGTTAAAATAACTATGTCTTTGCAAAAGGGGATATAGAAGATAGTATGATCATAAAAGCATTTCTTTCAAATTTGCTCAAACATATAGAGATTTACATAACTTTTTTTTTCAAAGCTGTGGAGATGTTAAAACGCGATGTGGTATAACAGTTACGTATCTTGATGTTAAACTATTTACTGTTAGAATAGAGCTCGAGATGCAAAGATCAAGATTAGCAAGGCTATATCCTTGTTAAATTCCCAAATAATACAATTTTTAACAATATTGAATGTAGGGATGAAAGAGAAAAGACAGAGTTGAAAGAAAGAAAGGTTACTTTAATGCGTTTTATTAGATACTTCTGGCATACAGTATTCTATATCGAAGATAGTTACTTATTTAAAAGATAGAGAACAACATGCTACACCACAGTGCTTTCAGTTTGCTTTATAACGTATGATTAAAGATATTTTTACACATCGAAAATATCTCATTTATAATACATTTCTTATGTACAATATATTAATATTTAATTTGATATTCTAAGTTTTATGTTCTTTGAACAATTTAATTTTTAATTTTCTTACAGGTTTATATTGAGAAAATTCTGAGTAAGGAAGGAAAGCTTTTATTTATCAAAATTAATGAAATTAAAATTAATAAATAATGCACATATTATTGTGTGAATAAAGTTAGTGATGCAGCATATATTGATGTAAACAAATTAAATACGATTATTAACTAATTAAACATTACTTAAATCTTCATACTAAATAACTAATTGAACATTACTTAAATGTTCACAAAAAGTTTTAAAAATGGTCTACCATTTAGGTAAAATAAAATTTAATAAGCAAAATTATGCTGACAATTATTACGAGGAACGGAATTTTCACAATTAGAGATTCAATAAGTCAATAAATTCCATTTATTGCTGAGAAACATCTTCCTTACCAAAAGCTAAAATTTAAAACTGGAAGATTCGGTTATTTGCTAGGCGACAGAGATGTGTTGAAAAACCGAAAGAATTGACAGATATGTGATGCTGTTATGAATGTGTATAATCAAGCATAATATAAAAATGATGAATAATTTATGTGTTAATAAATTGTTTGGTGAATTTCAAAATAACGATCACAATTAAATTTGGATACTGTCATTTCGGGGATTCTAGCTGCAGATTTTTTTCTTTATTTAATATTTTGCTCACTGAGCTGTGTTGTCGACATAGTCCATTTGCCGCGAATTACTTTTATATATTTTATTTTTAAGTTACTGATTATTTATGCGATATCTTTTTATATCGAAATCTTCATCTGCCATGTAATTGAATATTAAGCAAATTATTAATATTTTTTCAGTCTATCATGATATACTCCATGGGATGAATCAGCTGAATGCTTTGCAGGCATGAGAAAAAATGATGTTAACTGCTTTTCCGTATCATGCAATTTAATTATTACAAAAGAGCTGCATCACTCTGCGTATAGAAATTAGACAAATTTTTTCCTCATTTATATACTTCATTTGCTTTATTTATTAAGTTTATTAGTAATACATCTGAAAAGAACTGGATTTTATTTCCAAACGTTAAAATATTTTTCTAGTTATACAAAACGTCTGCAGGGGCTTAGGTTTAAATGCATGGAAAATCAAGATTTGAAGGAAATAATTTTATCCAATCCTTTTTCTTTTACATAAATTTATAATGCTATATGATGTAGAAGTATATATAACATATATACAGAATGATTCAGAAATATGAGTACATGTTTGATTAAATGATGTGTTGATAGTATGTTGGCTAAGAGAAATGTGGCAATACCATTAAAAAGTCGAATTTTCAAACTGAAGGCAGTCTGCAGATCTAGAACGTCTTAAGAACCAGAGAAAATATGGCAGAAAATATTATAAAACTGTCTCTGAGGTTAGGTTAAGTTAATTGATTAAGGCAAAGCAATTCGAGGATGCCTATGGGAAGGGATGTCTTCGTGAAGGACTTTTTAAGGAAAACTGGTTCATATCCACTTTACGCATTGGGTAAAACACAAAAACCAACCATGCAGCCATCTCGTTTGCCGAGATTGGAACCTAGATCCCTGGGATTCGCCTAGAACGAATTAACAGTGTTTAGCAACTTTATCGCTTGGCTGCTATTTGGCTGTGTGTCTGGGGAATCTAGTTATAATTTGGCGAATATTTTTTTTTAGCACATGCAATTCAACGATTCCAACACTCTCCTTCTTTAGCTGCAACAAGCACCATAAATAGCAGAGATTGAAGAACTTTCAAAACCACGTTACTTGTTGATTATGGCGCCCTGCATAATGGAAAGAAGCAAAACATGTAATGTCATCTAGTAACTGAAAATAGAATCAATAAAGTTTACGGCATTGATACATGCTAACCCATCCATTCATATGTACCTTATACGCACACATACACGATACATACCAAAAGAAGAAACTTAAAAGGCTTCAGATTTTTAACGATTGCCCAAAAGGGCTCTTTTAAAGTTTAAACCGTTTACCAGTAGAGATCATCAATAGGGATCGCATAGGTGGAATAGAGAAACGTTTTATAGGACAACAGGGTGAATACGCATTTAGATTAACATGAAATGTTATATATCTTTTCTATATTTAAAAAGTGAAAAAAAAATAATGTATGTCTATAAAAATATTTAATATTTTTAATTAGACATATCATGAATTAAATGCATTGTTATTTAAGTCAATCCAGATTAAAAAGTAAAAGTATGATATTCTTAAGCTATTGCTTTTAAGCAGCTTAGTGTGCTAATTAATAACAGTTTAAATGTGAACGAATAATATCCCATGTTTTTATAAATCTTTGACTTGGAGTAGTAAGAACAGAATCGGAAAATCCTAAAATATTAACACGTGAAATCATAGATCACGTGATTTTGGTGACGTCATAGGTTTACGAGCTAGCATAGTATCTAATGTCAGCAAAAATTCAGACTGTGTGTTTCGATGGCTACAAATTGTAATTCAGTTCTTTGTGGTTGTGCTAAGTAAATTAGCTTTGTCTAAAAGCTTAAAACCAGATTGTTATGTTAATTATATTAGTTTTTCAAGAAGCTTAAAACCAGATTGTTAAATATCCCTTGTTTAAATCTCCATTTCGTCTTCTACTTATTTTTTAATTAATTGAAGTTGTTATTTTTCGGGTTATCATGTCTGTTCTTAGACGCTTTCTCAGGTCAGAATTGTTGCATTATTCTTATATGCTGGCAATTTATTTTTTATTCCTCTTTTCTTGCTTTATGTTTATTCATTCATAATACTTTTCAGATAATATTTCGTTCCGATCGTTGACCTTATTTTACTTCATCAGATTCTGATTTCTAATAAGAAATCACCTACTTTCGCTATTAAATTTGTTTGTGTTGTGATTTAGAAATTTGGTGTTATCTTGATTTTTTAGATCACTTCAAGTGTTTAATCCTCAACAATATTATAATCAGAAAAATTAATTTCAAACATATGGCTTGTAGACCAGAAACCGTCAAGTGATTATTTTGGAGCTAAGGGGGGGGGAACTGACTAAAAAACAAAGATGACTTATAAAATCGCCAGTATTTCATGTTAAGGTGTATAACATTATTTTACGCTCGTTTTGAAACGTTTGTCTTTTACTGCTATTATTTTATTACAATTTATTACTATTTTTGTTGCGAAGTTGGCCCACCTATCACACAATCTGTGTAAAAGAAGAAAAAAAAAATTTCATTACACAAAAGAGGCAGCTTGAATATAAGTTTTACAATCTTTTCGGTTTCAATTTTTGAAATTATTTACGTCTTTGTTATTTTAAATGTATGTTATCTTCTCCCCTGTCATTGTTGTTTTAAATATGTATTACTTCTGTCTTAAAGTGTATAGGTCACCTAAGCTGAAACTATTAATGTGGAAATAGAAATAGAAAACATTCCGATATATATGTTACCGGCAGTGCATGAGAGCATGAAATGCCAGTAATGCAAACAAAAATCAGAATACCGTCAACCTTATGAAGCTGCTTTTTTCAAGATAGAAATTAAACTTCTTAAGAGTGCACATATCTTTATGTTTTGCAACACTTATGAAGATTTTTTTTCGTGTGTGTGTGTGTGTTTTCGAACACCTGCCGAACTGCATAAGGGGTACGGGCATCTTTATGACAGAGTCCCTTTAGAAAAGCGTAGGATCGTTCCATTCACAGATGAATCTAGATTCAGATAAACCTCTCATTTTCGACGCACGAAAGAGAAACCAGCGATTACCTGTTCTCACTACCTGTTCTCGAAGCATGTACACTCATGTCCATAAATTAAGGATAATTCAGAGTCACGCGGAAGTCGAACTCTAAAATAAATATATCACCTGTGAAATGACTACAAACATCTTCAAGAATCATATCCAAATTTCAGGAAGTAACCAGATGACACCGATGGTACGTCACTATGACGAGAGTGTAAGAGAGTGATATATAAGGAATACAGGCAAAGAAGTAAAATTGTTCTCAGGCGCCTTATGAGCATTTCAGTGCAATAACCGAATAGTTATGACACAAAGGACGCATTTGGATGATTTTTTACGTGGTAGAATTATCGGCCGTCTGGAATGTGGGCGTACCAAACTGGAAGTATCAGACGAACTTGGAATTGCCCAGACTGTCATCTCCAGGCTTTGGCAACGATTCCAAGATGATGGTAATGTGAGTAGACGTTACAGCACAGGCCGCCCCAGAGTTAAAACGCCGAATGAGGACCGGTATGTCTCAGTTACTGCCAAAAGAAACAGACGGAGCACAGCTTCAGACCAGTCTCGTCAGCTCTCTTCAGCCACTGGTACGACAATTTCAAGGCAGACCGTGTACAGACGCTTAGGGCAGATCGGTCTATGTGCTCGTAGACCTGTCAGATGCGTTCCACTTTCTGCAACTTACTGTCGCCTGCGGTTAGCCTGGAGTAGAGAGCATGCATTGTGGACACCGCAACAGTAGGCTTGTGTGATGTTTTCCGACGAGTCCAGGTTTAGCTTGCAGTCTGATTCTCGCCGGACTTTCATATGGAGAGCTCCAGGTACCCGTTACCACCAAGAAAACATCATTGAACGACACCGTTACGGTGGTGCAGCAGTGCTCGTTTGGGGTGGAATTATTCTGAGTTCCAGAACTGACCTGCATGTTCAAATTGGAACCATGACAAGCCAAATCTATCGAGACGTCATTCTGGAACAACATGTACTTTTGTTTCGGGGCGCAATGGGCGCACAATTTGTGTTTATGGATAACAACGCCCGTCCTTAAAGTGCAAACATCGTAAGCGAATGTCTTCAATCGGAGAATATCCCCCCGTATGGACTGCCCAGCATTCTCACCGGACTTGAATCCAGTAGAGCACGTGTGGGACATGCTTGGCCGACGATTTGCAGCCCGTCAACCTCCTTCTACATGTCTACCGAAACTTCGGAGAGCATTGCTTTTTGAGTGGTGTAATATCCCCCCAAGATCAGATCGATAAGTTGATACTCAGCATGCCTAGGGGTTGTACGGTCTGTATTGCATCCTCTGGGGGATACACAATGTATTAACAATCATAACAACCATGTAATATTGCTTTTTTGTAAATAGGTTTTTTTTTTTTTTGTAATTTGCTCCAGGGAGAAAACATGGCTAATTTTTTTAATAATATCAAATATGTAGCATCTTTTTTTTGCTCTTTACCTTTTGTTTAATAAATAAGCTTTACAAATAAGTCAAATTTGTTTTGCTTCTAACTCTTCCTTTGCCTGATTTTGCATTATCCTTAATTTATGGACATGAGTGTAAGAAAATCAATATGCTAACACAAGTTTGACAGTATGGACAGGCATCATGTTCGAGGCGAGAGGCAACATATGCTTTGTATTAGCTTGTCTTATTTCGATCTTTAAACCTTTGTTTTAGGCTTTTCTGTTCCGATAAGCTTTACGCATGAGCATGTGTAATTTCCATGACTGTTATAGAGTATGTATTATGTTAGCCTATGCCCATACGCAAATTCACTAAAGTCTATCATTTTCGAAGATAGGCAAGCAAATGTGAAAATTCTTTGAATTTTGAACTTAAGGGATAGTATTAAAAAGAGTTGAATATTTATTTGCAATCAACTTTTTGAGGACCTTTGCACTATCCGGGAACTGTTTTTGCTTCCTTTCAGTTTCTGAATATATAACAGTAGATTTCTAATGCCTAACATCAAATATAATATTTTTACTAAACACTTCCAATGTGAGCATGCTATTTTAAAGAAAGCAAATTAAAGTGTGTATGTAATTGTTGTTCCAGTAATTATCGATAGCGCCTTTATTAAGACTAATTGAAATATTTCAGTCTTGAAACTTCTGTAGAGTATTTGTTTCATAAAATGTTTGGAGATGTGTGGTATCTTCTGGAAATATGAATTTGGAACTAAATATTTTAGGATGTGTTTAGTTTCTTAATTTTTTTATTTCAGAGATTTGAATAAGATTCAAGATGGTATTGGTGAGAAAGTTCCTATGTGCATCAGCTCCATGTCATCAGCATTCCTTAATGTCGGATGCGGGTTCTACTATGGTTGGAAACTGGCACTAGTTACATCCAGTGTTATTCCTCTTCTTACTATTGGTTTGACTGTTGTAACAAAGGTAAACAATGCAATCATATACGTTATTTAGTCTCGTATGGAAAAAGTGTCATAGAGAAGTGGATAGCCAGTTTATTTCAGAAATAAATTGAGCCAATAGATCTAGAGTACTTCTCGTTAAGAAATCTAAGCCATATTAATAGCGATTAAATTATGAAAGTGGAAGACTGAAACTTAAATGATGCCAGTTTTACTCACACAAAACAAATCTTATACTTTTTATACTATTCGATTAGACGTGTGTTTCGCAAAAGATAATTTTTATGATATGCGAAGCGGCGTTTGATACTAGCTGATTAAAATGGTGTTTACAATAAATGTAAATCATTTTAAGACATCTTTTGGAGAATCAACTAAGGTAAAACTTCTAAACTACCCTAAAGTTTTACACCATATGCTACCAAGTTTGTCTATGATTTTTAATATGGCGGGCCACCTCCCAAAATAATTTAAAAAGAAATAGCAAAAATGCAGACTTTTAAACTCACCAATCGCATATGCTGCTAGCCGCCTCTAATATTAACTATATAATAATATATGATTTTAATGAATCCAGTTAGAGAATTTCATGCGGTTCTAAGTAGTATAATACTGTAAAATATTTTAAAATTTTAATCATAAACCAGAAGTATTGCTTTTTTTGAATTAGCAATATGTATCAATTTTTCTAGTCCAACGATTAGATTTCAGACACAATATAAATGATATAATCAGCTACAGTGAATATTAAAGCCCATTATATAATTTCTTTAGTATGACCATTATTTTTAATTATTATCCAAAAAGAATTGAAATGAAGAAGAAAAACATTTTAAAGCATTTTATTTTTCAGAGCTTGGAAGCATTTTATTAATTGAATGCGGAGTGTGTAATGTGGATCAGTTTATTGAATTTTTTTCAGATGTTCTCGATTATATTTACATTAATTTTTGGCATGTTGTTTTTTCAGTATATATTTTCATGCATTAATGTTAGTTCAAATATTCAAAATAATTTAAACACAGATCATGTTGCAAAATTATAAAAATTAATTACTAAATAAATGTGCATAGGTAACTGAAAATATACAAATCTACATTTGGGATCCTCCCAGTTGCTGACTGGTAAGACTGATAAATGCTAATAGTTCGGCACGGAATCGAATCCAGATGAAAGGAACCTAGGTTTTGGACGATGAAAATCACGAAAAGCAATTGTATAGTTGTTATTCTATGTGTTTTTCCATGTAAAACGCGAATATGAGCCAGTTTCCATTTGGAAGTTCTCTACGAAAGCATCCATTTGCTTAACCCTGGTGTGCTTTGCCATATTCAATTAATTATTCTTTTCTGATAACCTATGGTATATTAACAATTTTTTTCTAACTATTACGTATTTCTAGATGAGTAATTTAATTTATATTATTTTTGGAAAACCTGAGATTTCGAGGTTCAGTTTTTTTCTGTTTTCTTTCCATTCTACATTCGTGAAGTAGTAGAAACCGAACAAAACAGCTAAAGTAGTACTATGGCAAAGAAGCAAAACTAGCTTCAGAATACGAAGGTAATTTAAAACGTAAAGCAACAAGCCCTATCAAAAACAAGCTTTATTCTACAGACAAATTATTAATTTTTTATAATTTTCAGATTCAAGCCACTGTATCGAAAGAAGAGCTCGATGCTTATGGCACTGCTGGTGCTGTAGCAGAAGAAGTGCTTTCAGGAATCCGTACTGTGGTGGCATTTGGAGGAGAGCGAAAGGAAATTCAGAGGTAACGCTTGTTTTGTGTTTATTCACTGTATGCAAGATCATACAGAACTGATGCTTATTTCAAAATTAAATTCTGATTAAATTCTACACAGTCAAGCAACTTATCACCTTTCTTAGGCTTCCAGATAAATAATCATGAATTTAAATAAAGGTTTAACATAAACATTCTTTAGAACTTAACTACTCACACAGCTCATATATAACTTCCCGCTGCTTGCGGGACTTACGTTAACCTAAAACTAAGTAATTAACATTATGCAATTTATACGGCGAAGTTGTACTGTAAACATAGACTCCCGCCTTCAAATCACGCGAGCAAATGGGACTTGCAAAAGGCTAAAGCTGATTCTAATTATCTAGAAGCTGGGCGTAAATATTAAGGAGTAAGATAATCGGTTTATCAAAAGCTTTCTCCTAACTTTAAGAGCTCTGTTCGTATATGCGTTAACTAAGAGGCGGGAGCCGACGAACTTAAAGTGACAGTATAGATAAAAATAATAAAATAATGGGTTAATAAACATGAAACTTTACAAGTTCATACAGCTTAAGATTCACAAAAGAAATATTCGTGATAAGTTTTATTAAATCAAAATGAAAATGTATCAGAAAATGCGTTTCGATAGTGTTTCAAAAAATGCCTCTATTCTAGCCTGTTTCATAATTTTGCAACTCGTTGAATTGATAGAAATACTTTCATTAAACGTACTATGAAGTATAATTAAATTATTGCATTGTCGCAAAGGACAAAGACTCATACATACAGGAAGTCAAAAGAGAAAGTTACCCTTTCAGTTAACAAAGAATCACATCGGAATTAGGCCACTTAGACGGGAAAGTGATTAGGAACTCCGACTGCCGCACCGAAGGACCCGTGATCGAATGCCGGAAAAGGCATGGATGTAATTTATCCGTCGGATGTAATTTATCGGTATAGGAGGCAACGCTGGCTCACTTATTAATTACCTCCATAATAAAGTGAAAAAAAATGTCGGAATTAGAGGAAAGGAATTCGCGAAATGAGGACTGATATTCAAATTTTCCGAATAAGAAAATAAACACATTGATCCAAGGACAGGATCATTCATTACCCAGCCACTTCTTTGAGCGGCCATAAATGTTCAAACAATCCAACCTCGGCGGCTGTGCCGGCGGAGCGCCAACTCACCGAACAGTCCGCAGGGACTTCTCATGTTCATAGCCACAATCCATCACACTGAGGACTGCGTGGGGAGCCTCCCTCCGGCACAGCCCATGAATCTACATGAGAATAACCCCACATCCAAGGCAACAGACACGATAGTACCATTACAGTCCCTGTCAAGCCTGCACCTACCATAGGATGGACCTATGGTTCTAGTCACTGTGAAGTTTGATTACATGCCCAAGAAACCGAAGCTGTGTGGACACAAGTCCAGCCAGTGGTCTGGAAGAACCCCGGGTCTCCTCCCATTTCTGGTCGGTCCCGGAACTTCCTACCAGTCGGTACCAAGGGGTGAGTTGTTCAGCGTCATTAGCCTATGCCAACTGGGACCTAAGCCCCAGCCGCGCATAGTTACCAGCGGGCGCCACGTGGAGGCTGACGCTGAACTGAGGGAGACGCAAGCAGGCGCACCTAAAGTCATTCCCTCAGCCCCTGCCCATCGATCAAACACCGGGTCTCCTGCCTTCCGCCACTGCCTACGACGATCTCCCGCGCACGGTTCACGCCGCCTACAGTGGTTTCCAGCCGGTTCCGGATATCCGACTCCCGGGTCAGAGACCGGCATTTCGGCCTTTGGATCAAACACCAGGTCTCCTCCCGCTACGCGGTCGGTTGTGGATATTTGTCCTCGGGTCTGAACGCCACCCGCCAGAAAATAAACACAGTTTAGAATGGATATAAACGCATACTTGTTTCTGTCTGTCACCAGAGACCTACATTCTGACTGTCATTGCGGTTGCGCCTATTTCACCGGTATGGAGCGGTGCAGTAAATTTAGATAGTGTGTGAATTTAGGACACTTTCGCTGAAAAAGTCTGTTAGTCATCAGTGATCTTCAGGCTGATAATCATCACCCCATACAGATGCCACTGGATCATTCATATGCAGCAGAATTAAAATGAAAATAAAGTACACCAGTAGCCTTTTGCCACTTTCAGCCACAGACTGGCAGCTCTTGGAGGTTAAGCCATAGGTTATCGATGTGGGACATTAGAATGAACTTAAATAAATTTAAAAAATAATATTAAATTTAAGTATATTAGCTTCGCCGAAGCTATTCACCACCTGTTAGCTACACATTGGTTGCTGGTGATCTGTGGTTACTGGAGATCAACACGTAAAGTCATCAGTGTGAAAAAATTTTAATACAATTTTATAAATACTTAAACCAAAGGACACCATTAATTGTAACATAAGTATACTAGTGATTGCGAAAGCCAGTGGTCACTGGCGACTTATAAGTTTTCGGTCACCAGTGTAGAATAATGAAAGGAATTTGCTGTGGCAACACTTGCTGGATTTTTTTTCCAATTACAACAAGAAGACACTCGGAAAAGAGGGAGAAAACTCCTTGCAGTGTAAAATAATATAACTCTTCAAAATGTTGCGAAAATTTTGCCAGAGACCTTTTAGCCTTAAGAATGTAATATAATGTTTTAGTATCATGTTTCGACTCAAGATCCAAAACTCATAAACAGTAACTAAACGCTTAAAAAAAGATTTTAATTGCATGACTGTGTAATTGAGATCTAACTTAATGTAACAAATTTTAAATAATGTGCAGTAAGACAGAAATGAAATGTTACACATGTAACTTAACTTTATGTACAATACTCGTCAATACCATATGTATCATCTTAAAATACATTCTTCCTCAGATATGACAACCATCTGGCGAAAGCCAGGAAGAAGGGCATCATAAGAAGCTTTTTGACAGCGATTAGTGAGGCAATTGCTTGGCTCGGTATCTTTTGCGGTTATGCGCTAGCCTTTTGGTATGGCGCTAGACTAATCCTCGAAGAAACAGAAAAAACGAATCCTGAATACAGCAGTGGAACTCTTGTTATTGTTAAGTATAAAAATTTATATTTGAAATTTTACATTTTATACACATAATTATTTTAACTTTTATGTGGAATAATATTTTGAATTTTATGTTAAAAGTTAACGGAATGTGCGAATTCTTCATCAGAATTTAAAATTACAGAACTGAATAGTAAAATTTTCTATTTATAATTGATTCAACGTTTGCCAAAGATACTGTTATTCGTATGAGCCATAATGAACTACATATCCACAGTACACGCTTAAAGGATTGAGCTCTAGGTTGATTTCTTAAAACTTATAGGCAACGCTATCGGCCAGAGACAAGTTTTATCATCTTTATGCAGCTATCCTGGGAAATATTATTATAGTACGATTCAATTATTTAACTAGCATTGGGGCATTTTTATAGCACTGTTTTGTAGGTAAATTCAGGAGATACTGAAAAAACGTTCTTTGACAACGGCTTAAAAAGTAGTTTTTCGTTGGGATAAGTGTATTCAATTAAATGGGGATTATCTTGAAAACTGCATTGTTATATTGATGAAATTTGAAAATAAAAAGAATTACTTAAATTCCCAGAAATTTGGAAATATCCCTCATATATAAGCCAGCGCATCTGTAATCAGGTCTATATTTTAGATCAAATCTGTCTTTATCTCCTGCCTTCACTTCCACACCACCTTCATTTCCTTTGAAATGTGTACTTTGTCATTTTACCATTAATTTATAACAAGCTTTATTATTTATTACAATCTTGAGCAAAGTATTCTATGGGATCTTTTTTTCCTTTGTCATGGTCTGCGTAATTTAGCAAAGTTTCCCCATCTGCATTTTGTTTCAGCAAACAAATTTTTCAATATGAATTTTTTCAATAAGATTTATATGACACTGTAAATTAATTAGTTTCATTTATCCTAGTTCCTGGTGCATTATTCATCTTTGTTTTGAATGGAAGTGCAAATAATATAAACTCGGATTTCAAACGATTGAAATATTGGCTACAGCGTATTTGCAAAAAAATGTATAATTTAACTGTTGTCGCAGTCCGCATAAAATTTCTTCGAGGGTACATGCGGCCCGCAAGCCACCAGTTTGAGACCACTGTCGTGTAGTCGTGTATTAAAACTTAAATTATATATTGATATGACTTATCTAATTCGTCTAAATGTAACATCAAATTAGGTCCACGAAATTTATTTTGCCAAGAGCGCAAGGATTAAGAATTGTCTCTGTCTTTGGCGTAAGTCTTGGGAACCTTATAGGTAATAGAATGAAATAACCATCTCCATCCCATTTTTGAAAGAGAATTCCCCTAAGGACGGATCCAAGCGTCTCCCACTCCTCTTCCACTTACACGAACCTCTCGATAGGCCTTTCGGTTAGACGGTATTTTAAGTCCTGGCAGCATATACTTAAAAATATTCTATGCCTTCTCCGGTATTCGAAACCAAACCGGCGGTTTCTCTACCACCATGCCAACAGGGTGGCAATTGCACATGACATTTCATTTACAACAATACTCCCAAAAACACTTAATCATTTCATTAGAAACTGTTTATGACTGCTCTTTCTATTAATTGAGTAATCTTTAAATATCCGCGAATGCAATAGCCCAAATCCGTTTTGTCAGTCATCTTTGGTCAGATATTGAAAGAATTTTTAGACTCCAAGGACTTCTGTGTTTAAAAATTAGCACAATAATAGTTAACAAACGTGATCTCAAATCTAATGATGATTGCTTATGATATTCGGGTTGAGAAGCCAGTTTTCACAAGCACCTGACATCTGTTCTTCCTATGATAAAATTAGCTTCTGTATTCTTATGAACAAGAATTGTGTTGCATTGCTTTTATCATTATTTGCATAAATTTAACAAAGCTCTTGCATGGAGTTAAAACTATTTCTTTGAATCAGAAAGTGTCTACTTATATGTAAATGAGCAAATATTCCTTTATATGTCTGTTTTATGCTGTATAAAAATTTTTATAATGAAACTGATGTAAAGAAAATGTTTTTTTGTTTTTTTTTTTTTTGTTCACATATGTCTGAGTTTGTTATATTTGCGCATACCTTTTGAAATTTCGACATGTAATATATAATTCTATAAAGCATCGGATTATATATTTTAATAAACTGACAGACAAAGAAAATTTTGCATTTTCTTTGGCGGAAAGGGTATGTCAGAAAAGTGTTAGACATTTTCTAAATTTTTAACGTGCCGTTAAAAATTTAGATTTTTTTAACGTTTCTAAATGTTTGCAGTAACTAAATTGTTTCTATTTTAATCCAATAATTGTTAGTTCTACCTATAATAAACATTTCTATCGTAACAGATATGTTTACTTTCATAATTTGCCGGTTTTCTTATTCCTAATTTTTTTGTTTTGTTTGACCCTTTCCTTTCGCTGTTATTTATGCCAGAAGTTTTATATTCCTACTCATAATTTTTCTTAGATGAGTTGTGGAAAGAGTTCTTTGTTAAAATAAATGTTAAGAACTCTCATGATAAAAAAAGAAATTGTACTTAATCATTAACTAATTCAAATTTTCTTCAACAGGTACTTTTTACCATTTTATCGGCATCCATGTATAGCGGATATTTATCGCCTTACTTTGAAGCTTTCTCTTTAGCCCGAGGAGCAGCAGCAAAAATATTTGATGTCATCAACAGGGTATTTTAATAATCAACCTACAATTATCTTTAGCCTTTAATTACTTTCTTTACCTATATTATATTATATTTCAAATAAGCACTTCTGAATCACGGAAAATATATTATTAGTCCAAAGGGGCTTTGTCCCTGAAGGACTATCGTTTTCGTTTTGCGATTTTACGATGAATCACTATAAAAGGTAAATCACTTTTCAAACTGTTGCCACCAAATGTTAGACTCCTGCATTATATTTTGAAGAAATTAAATAATAAAAAGTCTGCATAAATGTATGTATATTTCTCGCATTGTGATAAAACAACGGTACATAGAGCCATCGAATTTTAAATGACGTAATCCTCCTTCGAATATGAGTATGTGGAAGACCAAATTTAGAATTTGTTTTATTATCGATTTCATATTTTGTAAAACTCTAACGAATTATTGATTAACAAACTCAAGGATTTCAAAGCGAGCAATGGCAACATTCTACGGCGGAAAAAAAACTTTATATCTCCAGCGCGCGGAACTGTGTATCGGAAATTCTAAAGAGAGGCTCATTTTAAAATTATTTTGCGACATTGCTATTGAACTGAATTTTATGGTTTAAGTGCAAAGAACATGATATTTAATAAATAAAGGTAACACACAAAACATTAAAAAGACGCCTCTTTGGGCGTAATTTAAAATCTGAAACCTTCAGATTTTATTTTGTTTTTCTATAGCCTTAAAAGTTTAACGAGAATGTTTTGAATTTTATGTATTTTTTAAATATACGTATTATAATTTTTGTTAATAATGAGTATAACTGTTATTCCAGTTTTGCGTGAAACTTTTAAGTATCTTCTTTTCAGTGCATGCTCTTTTTCACGGGATTCAGCATATTTCTATGCCTGTGTGAAAGAGGAAATAGAAATGCGTCATTGAATATATTTAACATAAAAGCCTAGATTTTATGCATTGTGTTCACAATAGTCCTTTTCGGCTCTTATTTTTGCAACCGTTTGTCACAGAAATATACTTGTATTTACAAAAGTGCATTTAGTGATTCATGTTATGGCATTTTTAAATTAAAAATTATGAAATCTGACTTTTATACGACTATATTTAGTAAAATTTTATAGTTAATCTAAAAAATAAATAGTGCACTACAAGAAACGATCCAAATATGTCATCACAAATTGAAGAAAGAAATATTTTAATTTGCACATAAATAAAAATAAAATATCACTTTAGAAAAAGGTTTCTGATTTTGATAGATTAAGTTCCGAACATTGACTGTTGTGAAATGTTTTGATGAATACCAATCAATCGAACTGTCAATTAATTTTGGATCAATTTTTCCAAAAAGGAGATCTCGTCCTCAAAATCTTACGAAATTCATGTTCTAGAAAACAGTAGTAGGCTTCAGTATTGGCAAGTAGCTCACTTCAAAAATTTTTTTGCAAAAATTCAAAGAGAAGAATAGTTCTGGTCATATATATATATATATATATATATATAAGCAGGAACAAAATTTTGGTCCTGTCAGTGATGTGTATGATCTTATAAGAAGTTTTATAAGTTGACACGTATTTCCGTTAATACAAATTATGAACTGTTTTTTTTATTCCGCTGTGTCATTGGATTTTATCATTTAACACGAACTTTCAAAGTTTTTCATGTTGTTTCTTTGCTAGGGCTGCTTTCAGAAATGTCCATCCCGTTTAATTGAAAATCTCACAGAGTACACTGCATTCGTTAAAACATAGCCAGTATGAAAAACATTGCTGGGCAATTGCAGTCATCGGATCACCAAAGAGTCATCGGGTCATCGCATTAACAATAAGCTTTAATCAACAAATGCAATTCAATGTTCAGATGTGCTTTTTTATTCTTTAAAAGTTAGCTAATACGACTAATGTTAAATATTGAATTAATTCTGAATTAGTCAAGTAAAATTACTTACCTGTCATGTTCTTTCAACGATCACAGGTGTGAGACAGGATACTAATAGAATAATTTCGATTAAAACGTAAGTGAATTGCATTTGCAGTACTGGACTTTAGTTTAGTTGCATGTGAATTTTCAGCGCTCATCAACATGTCTTTATGCTTCAAAAATTCTAGCAGCATTGTTCGACGGACCTGTAGATGGCCCTCTGGTCACTTTCAGAGCTCGACAACTAATGCCAAATTGCACGCAGTAAGAAAGTGATTCATGACCAAGAGGAATAAGACAAGCATAGATCTGCGAACAAAACTAAAAATCCTAGAGGAAGTAGACCGTGGTGTATTGAAGAAAAGTACAATTGTCAAAACGTATGGAATTGCGAAATCTACCATATACACAATACTTAAAAGATTGTGAAAAAATTCTTAATGCTGCTGCATTGGGTTCCGGGAACAAATTTAAGCGACTTCGCAGTGCTAAGTCCGAACATACCGAAATTTTACTTCTTGAGTTGTTCAATCATCTGCACGCTTCCAATGTACGTTAAAGTGGACCTATAACTGATTCAAAAGCTAACAAAGTTAAAAAAATTTAGACCTTAAAGATTTCAGTTGTTCCGCTGGTTGGCTGTACCACTTCCAGAGGAGACACTTGATTTCATCATTAGTGATTTGTAGTGAAGCAAATAAAGTTGGTGATAAAGAGCAAATAATTGATTGCATGAATTTGACCAAGTAAGAGAAAAATATCACTCATGTGTGAACTATTCGTGAACTATTCGAGGGAGACCCAATCCGCCTTGTCCCAGCGGGACCATATGATTAAAAATAGGTCAACCCTCCTCCAAACCACGCTGATAAAACATCACAGAAAACATAAAATAACCAACCAAAAATAAAGAAGGGTTAGTAGAAAAAACTAAAGATAAGAAAATGACACAAAACACAAACAAACACTTATGCAATCAAACAATCACAGACAAAAACACTCACAGAGAGGCAGTTTCTGTCACATAATAAAACTCGCTTCAAACCATAAAACAACATAAATAACTAAGCACCTCAAAGGTTCATTGGGGAATTCCCAAAAGGAAAAGAACCTGCAGAAGGTCACACCAAGGCCGCACGTAATAAGGTGTTCTATAGTTAAAAATGCAATAGAAAATAATTATAATCTGACAGCAATATTAATTTTAACTTTGCTACTTAAAGCCCCGGTTAGAGCAGAACAAAATAACTACATCAACAAGTAAAATAAAATACAAGTACAATAAAATACAACTACTACAAGTAAAATAAAATCCTCAGCTCACAAATGATCGTTGAATTGATAAAATTATCTTAAAAACATATAAAATAATTTAAAAGCCTATAATTCAATTAAAATATTTAGACTATGGTCTATGATGTTATTACAGAGTGCCTAAACTGTATATATGTGCTGTAAACATATGTTTAAATTTAAAAAAAAAAAAAAAAAAAAACAGACAATACACCATACAATACATACACATGAATAATACATAAAGGAAAAAAAATTAGACAAAATAATTGAAATATTTAAAGACATAATTTAAACTAATACACCAAATGTCACTCTATTATTGTTTATATAAGACATTGCATATCTAGAGAATCTTTTTAAAGTTTCAATACCTAATGGTTTATCACTAAAGCATTCGATTCTCAAATCCTTTAACAAAGGACAGTGATTGAGAAAATGCTCTGCGTTCCCAACTACATGACAAACGCCACATAAATCTGAATTTTGCAAACCAAACCTAGAGAGGTACGCGGGGAAACGGCCATGTCCAGTCAAGAACTGATTCAGATCTATATCGCTAATCGGCTTCATTTCGTTTTTTTAATTTTAATATGCTGCAATAAACCCGCGCACCTCTCAGACTCTTCCCATTTCCATTGTAATGTCCAGATATTCAAATAAAAATTTTTTCATATTTCTAATAGCATAGCTTTTCGAACCGGACGTCTCAAAGAATTCAACTCGTTTCATCATAAATGGCTTGTTTTGCCAGCACGTCGGCTCTTTCATTTCCGGTAAAATCAACATGGGCCTTTACCCAATGTAAATAAACATCCATGCGTTGTTTCAACAATTTTAACAAGCACTTAATTTCAAAAATTAGAACATTGGCTGTACGGGCCCAGGACAGAGACTGCAGCATAGACATACAATCAGAGTAAATATGTACAGTATTTACACAGCTCAAATTACTCTTAATCCATTGCAAAGCCTTAAGGAGCGCACAACATTCCGCTTGAAAAACAGAATTGTAACTATTCAACCTGTACATTTTATTTACAATTTCAACACCAAAAAAGTAAATTACAAAAGCTGCACCAAATTGACCGTCCTGTCCCGACCCGTCAGTGTATACGTCTATTTCTCCTATTACAGGAAGAACACAATCAAAGCAAAAGGTACAATACTCTGAGGGATGTACAAAATCTGTAAAAAATCTCACAAACATATGTTTTGTAATTAAAACGTCATTATAAAGTTTAAATTCCATTCTCTGAGTTTTAAATAAAAATTTCTCATAATAAAATTTATACATAATAGAAAGAGGCGACGTGCCGGCAAGAACACTCAGCACCTCAGTCGACACTGTGCGAAAGCATCTTGTGATTGCTACCTATAACTCCTTTGTATTGAGTCGAGTTTGCTCCTTAGTCTAATCAGTCCACCGCTTTAGTACCCCATGCACCAATTCCATAAAGTATCTTTGGAACTATAACACAATTTAATATATCCTTTAACACTTGAGCCTTGTAAGAGAGGGTATCACCGGAGAACGATCGCTTATAATACATTAATATATCGTCAGAACGTTGGTGAACTGTTCGAAAGTGTTCTGCAAAAGTAAGTTTACAGTCTATAATAATGCCTAGGTATTTGATGGCGTCGGTAAACTTGACTCTCTGACCATGGTATCTAAATCGCGGTGGCCGCACCTTACTTCCGCCACGCGGGAACAAAATCGCAGAAGTCTTGGCTATATTAAAATCCAGTCCCTCACCGATCCTCCAATCTTCCAGCGGTTTCATAACTGTTTCAAACAAACGCTCA